TCTGTTATAAGCCCCAGAAAACAGACTGAGACAGGTGCCCCCAGCCCCACCTTCCGCCTCAGTTCCCAGGATGCTGACAGGTCTATGTTTCACAGGCAAGAGCTGGAAGGACTTTTTTTCTAGAGAAAATGATGGGACAAAGAGAAAAGTCAACTAGTTGTCATCTTACCAAACGGCTGGCCACTGATCATCTGCAGTGATTCTTGCAGTGATCAAGCCCTGCTCAGATCCCAAACTCTGCACAAGTATTACGGCTTCACTCTTGAAAGAAACACATGCTGACCCAGCAGAGAACAAGGCGCACAGAGGAGAGAGAGAGTACAGAGAGCAGAAGAGCACTTTTTAAAAACTATAATGTTCTCAGAGATAACAAGATACATCAAAATAGCGTATCCATAAATAAGAACTCGAAGCTTTTATTAAAATATCCAAGAATAAGAAAGAGCACTTAGAAATAAAAAAATACAATGGTAGAAATTCAAAAGTCAGTAAAAGGATGAGAACTTAAAAGTTGAATAAACCTCTCATAGGTAGACCAAAAAGGCAAAGACAAAACATTAAGAGCAAAAATAAGAAGAGAAAATACTAATCCAGGTGATGTAACACCCGATTAGAAGTTCCAGAAAGAGAGAGCAGAGGAAAAACTGGAGGGAGAATATTATCAAAGAAATATACAAGAAATTTTTTTTTTCCTTTTTGTCTTTTTTCGTGTCCGGCAACGGATCGCAACCCTCAGTGTCGCACCCGCACCGGACCGGGACCGGCAACGGGATCGCAACCCTCGGTGTTGTGCCCGCATCTCGAAATATCCAAGAATAAGAAAGAGCACTTAGAAATAAAAAAATACAATGGTAGAAATTCAAAAGTCAGTAAAAGGATGAGAACTTAAAAGTTGAATAAACCTCTCATAGGTAGACCAAAAAGGCAAAGACAAAACATTAAGAGCAAAAATAAGAAGAGAAAATACTAATCCAGGTGATGTAACACCCGATTAGAAGTTCCAGAAAGAGAGAGCAGAGGAAAAACTGGAGGGAGAATATTATCAAAGAAATATACAAGAAATTTTTTTTTTCCTTTTTGTCTTTTTTCGTGTCCGGCAACGGATCGCAACCCTCAGTGTCGCACCCGCACCGGACCGGGACCAGCAACGGGATCGCAACCCTCGGTGTTGTGCCCGCACCTCGCTCAGCCAGTGAGCGGGAACCGGTCTGTATGTGGGATCCAAACCCTCGGCGGGAGCGTCGCCGCACTCTCAAGCGGCGCACTATAGCAGTGCGCCACCGGGCTGGCCCTACAAGAAATTTTCCCTGCACTACATCCCATTAATTTACAGACTGAAAGCATCCATGGAGTGCCTAGCACAATAAATGAAAAAAAAAATCAACATCCAGTGTTCACTTTTAACACGACTATGTAAATACTGTTCACAGCTGAGCTGGTTTTCTTTCTCTGGTTATATTTACTTACTTTTATAAGTTTCCCCCCAGAGTTAATAGTTCTCTGTTCTGCTGTTTAGTTTTGTATTTTTCTATTACTAATTTCTCCCAGACTCTTGACTATGAAACTCTCCTGGCTCATCAATGCCGCTCTGGGATCCCCTGTCCTGACCCAGAGAATAATTTCACATTATTGGGAAATTCCAAAGCAACAGTGACTAGAAAAGGACCAATGTGCCCTCAGGGCAGAAGGAAAACAGGTGACACACATAGCTGTTTCATCGGACCTGTCGGCAGCAAGGCTGGACCCTGGAGGACAACGCAGAGGCTCCAGAATCACAGGGGATGAAGCCAGTCTGGAATTCTAAACCAGAGGGGGTCTCATCAGAAAGCAGCTGGAGAATACAATTTGCCATAGAAAGTAAGCCAAAGGAAGAGGAAGAAAAAAATCACAGAAGACAGATAGTGGAGTTGTCAGAGTGGGGATGGAGCCTCAGACTGCTATGGTGGAAATTCCCTTCCCCTCCTGACTGGAGGAGCTTCCTTTCAGGTCTTCCCCTTGGTACAGCAAGTCTTTCTAGGGGAGGGGGCTCCTTGCTGGAGGCCTGCCCTGACCCAGCGCTGCTTCCCACTGGGTGCACAGTTCTAACTGTGCAACGAGGAATGAGGTAGCCCACAGCCCAGAATTGTGAACCACATTGCTTTATGAGTATCAAAAGTGATACCTTGGCATTTATCTGCTGGCTCTTTTGTCTTATTTCTCAAATGATCCAGAACTCAGCAGGCAAACAAGACAGGAACCCACAAAAAAGACCAGGAGCATCCACATGGTTCTAGGGCCAGACCACATGGTGGCATCCTCTGCTGTGGCCTGGGCGAGCAGTGCTCTGACTCTGGAAAGTAACAGCCTTATGGCCGCTGTGGCTTTTCAGCCCAGGCTGCTCCACAGAGGCAGTGCTGGCTGCATGTCTGGCCTTGGAGAAGAGGCAGCAAGCACATGGGGCTCACCTGCCTGGAGCTGCCTCTGGCCTAAAGCAGGGACAGTGGCTGCTGCCTGACCCCAAACCACCCAAGTGCAGCTTCTCTTGAGCAGGCACAGCCTAGGCAAATTCTCCACTTCCCAGGAAGAAGTCCTTCCATGACCCAGCCTGAGTCATGAGGGGTTCAGCCAGGTCTGCAGGCGGAACCTTGACCTCTAAGGCACAACGGCTGTTGCAGGTACTGTCTAACCTGCCACTGCCCACTGCCGGGCGCTGCAGGGTCTTGAAAAGCACAGACAATGGTTCCTGTAAAGTTTTACTGGAATGTAGCCACACCCGTTCGCTTAATGTTTTCATGCCACAACTTCAAAGGTGAGTAGTTGCAAAGCCTAAAATTTACTAGCTGGCCTTTCACAGATAGAGTTTGCCAACTCCTGGCCTACAAACGTATTTATATCTTCCCCTTCTTTGAAAAATAATCTTGACCCTACTTTTTTTTTTTTTTTTTTAAAGATGACTGGTAAGGGGATCTTAACCCTTGATTTGGTGGTGTCAGCACCACGCTCTCCCAAGTGAGCCACGGGCCAGCCCTTGACCCTACTTCTTTATTTAGCTACCACTTCATCCATCCATCCATCCTCTTCCTTCTCTCAAAAAACGTGTTGTCATGTTTTTTATATAAGTGATACATGCACATGCTTTGAGAACTCAGTGTGGCAGGGCTGGTGAGGAGAAACCCTCTCCCTGGCCTCAAGCCATGCTCCTGAGAGGCAATCACTGTAGACTCGTTCAGCAGTTTTCTCTGATACTGACCTCCATGTTTCTAAATACCACACATGGAAACTCCTTCATTTGCTGATACTAGACATTCTGAGTTACCTCCTACAATGGGAGATGAAGCTTTAATTCCCACTCACTCATGACTTCCCTCTCCCTCACCCTCCCTGCAAAATGATCCCACAATTTTTAGTGACCTTAGTATGACTGTGCAGACACCGCTCCTGTCTAAGCTGGTTCATTGCTCTGGCTGCATTAACTTACTTACGTAAGTTCCTCCACAGTTAAGTTTTCTTGTTGCTTTGTTTGTTCAGCCTTGTATTTATGTTACCAGTTTCTCCTGGACTCTGCCTAGGAAACCCTCCTGGCTCATCAGCACCGCTGTGGGACCCGAGGTCCTGACCCAGGAGACTCCCCAGCTGTCCCCCCCAAACCTGTCACTTTGCTCTAATTTGCCATCAAACTGGGACATGTTTGGGAGAGAAGGGAGGGGGCTGTTAAGAGTGATGCTGAGACCACAGGTGTTGACAGGGCATGTCCCAGGCACAGTTGCCTCTAGCGACAGCCACCCTAACCCCAAACCCTCAGCTACTCCACGAACAAGCCCCTGCTCTTTCTAGAACTGTCTTCCCCCACCACCAGCACAGCTCCCCTTGTCAGAGAGGACCTGACTGACCACCCTAAATGAAGTACTGCCATCCCTGCCACAGGCACGCCCTACCTCCCTATCCTGCTTTATGTTGCTTCTAAAACCAAAGTCAGCAAATATTTTCTGGAAAGGGCCAGATAGTAAATATTTTTGATGATCTCTATTGCAACTACTTGACTCTGCGTTGCATATGGATGTGTGTGGCTGTGTCCAACAAGAACTTATCGCTAGACACTGCAACGTGAATTTCATTTCATTCTCATGTGCAACAAAATATTCTTCTTCCTTTGATGTTTTTTCAACCATTTAAAAATGTAAACCATTATTACAGGCCACACAAAAACAGGGTTTGACTTCCTGGCCACAGTTTTCGGACATTGTTCTAAGACTTTACCACCACCCACCTATACCTGGCGCTTCCTCATGTCACCTGTGGGCTGCTGTGCTTGACCTGACCCATGTCTCTCATCCCCAGTTTCCCCCGGGACTGCAGGCCACCGGTCTCTTCACAGAGCTGCACCTGCAGAGCCAGGGGCTGGGCTGCCTATGCTTCCTGTCGCCCAAGGCCTTCCTGCTCACAGGCCCCTGTCCTCACCCAGAGCGCTGTAGCTCCAATCTTCTTGCCACATTGCCCCTTCCCTTTTGGTTATCTCCTAATATCCTAGCCAACTGCTGAGTGGAACATTTAGGAAAAACTTTGAGACTAGTCAGTGCCACTAATGATAATGACATATTTCCTCTAAGTCAAAGACCCCAAAGTGAGGCATTCCCCAGGGTTGAGCACACCTCTCCTGCCTAGCCGTTTTGCCAGGCCTGGGCCGACCTCGCTGAGGCTGCAGTCCTGTGCACCTCTTTATCCTGGGATAAATCTTTTCTTTTCAGCATATTGTTACTCAAAACACTCTGACATGCACCAGCCTAATATAAACCTACTCGTAACTCAGAATGAGAAAACACATCCACGAGAGATTCCAAACTCCTAAACATCAGCAACAACAACCCCCTAGGAGGGGCCTCCTCACTTCTCAGGTGGGGTAAACATTTAAGGTTGGCTTCTCCATCAGAAGGCCCTCGCCATGGCTGTCCTCAGACACTGCCCACAGCCTCCCTGCAGCACTGCCCAGCGCACAGGGCCCCGCTCACAGCCTCAGGACATACTTGAAGCGGACCTTCTCTTCCATGTCCAGGGGCGGGTCCTGTGTGATGAGGCTCACCAGCTCCTCCATACACTGCTGCCTGCACAAGAAGTCCAGCAGCTTCTGGTTCTGAGCCTTACACTCCTGCAAGATGTCATCTTCATCCATCAGCTCCTGCAGCGTCACGTGCTCCTTGTCCAGCAGCTTGTCAACATGGGATGTGGTATTCAAGTCAAACTTCCAGAACATCGTGACGGCCACAGAGCTGCAAGCAAGGACAAAAGGGTCATTTCTCTCCCCTCTGTGAATCCGCCCTCAGCAACTCTACACCATCCCCAACACAAACACTTGCAATTCTCCTGGGGCCCTGGGTGGCTCTCTCCAGGACTGCTCTCATCAGACCTCTCCAGGTTGGGCTCAAAAAGTCAGCGCAGACTTGCCAACTCCCACCAGCTCTGATGCTGCATCTCCCAGGTCCGAGAACTGCCTCCCCAGGCTCTCCTCTGGGATGACCCACCTCCTTGCTCTCCTTCCCACAGCCCTGCTAGTCCCACTCACAGCTCCACATGCCTCCTAGATGCTCCCACTTAGATGGCTCCATTAGGCCAACACATCCCGATGTCTCCCATGCGTCAGCACCAGTAAAGCCCCTCCATCCTCACACACCCACCTCCCCAGTGTCCAACCCCTCAGCTCCCCTGACACCTGGCCCCTCCATTTGCTGTCCCCGTCTTGCTAACACCAGGGTCATCCTGGAGGCCCCACATCCCTCACATGTGTCCCCACTGGCTAGGCCTCTCCCCAGCAACCTCAGGGGTCACCTGCAGCCCTGTCCTCTGCCTCCCAGTCTCAAGGTTCTTGCCACTTTGCCTGCGCTAAACAAAGCATGTCCACCCTAGTGTGTCTCATATGGCAGACTGTGGGCCAGGCCTGGTGAGCCACATCATTGTCACTGCTCTGATACAAAGAGAAACCTAAAGCCTACATCTTTAACAAACTTTAACTCTGAGATTATGAATCTCTTCGTGATTACAATTATGGTAATAGTAGACGGAATTTATCTTACCTAATATTTTACTTAGAAAAATGAAAGACTGACCATACAATGCAAACACCCGGTTTGTCTGGCTGTGATACTCATGCTGCCCTAGGAGCCCGACATGGGAGCCTCCACCGCCAGCCATACCCCGCAGCCTTGGGTCTTTGTTGCCTCAAACTCACTTTTCCAAAATGATGAAGTCTCCATAACCTTTCATCTCGGCTTCAAGACCTCTGCTGGCCCCTGACACCCCCACACATCAGGCTGCTTCCAACAGCATGACTCCGGGTCCTGTGGGCACCTGCCCAGCCTCACCACCAGGACCCTGCACTGTCTTCCCACACCAGCTGCACTTTCCCACCTTTATCTTCTGCACCTGCTCTGCCCCTGCCAGACTGAGCTAAGGACTTGGCCCCAGGGCCCCACACCTGTCCATGCTGCTGGGATGGGCACTGCCAGGCCCTCAGATGAGAAGACTACAGAGGTGGAGCTCTGAAGGCCCCAAGGGGAGCTGCTTTGACTTGCGGTACAAGGGACTCCATATACACACTAACTGCATTCAGCTTTCCTTGTGGGTCCTAAGATCTTCCTTATTCCTCTTGTGAGGAGAGTGGGTGGATATTAATGAGTGGTAGCAACAAACTGGAGGGCCAGAGATAATGATCACTCGGAGAACTTTCAGGAAAAGATGCTGCCTCCATACACACAGATAAAATGCTCTTCTCTCCTAAATGCCCCATAGGATGACTCAAACGCTTGGATAATATGCAACCCAGGGGAAGAGGGGAGCTCCATCTGTCAAAGCTTTTTGTTCCAAAATAAGAATGTGCAAGATAGGGCATCTAGAGGTAGCTTCTGTGCAGTCGTGTATCTAGCCATAGAGTAGTGCATGGCTGGGCGGATCACAAGATCTCACCAAACCAAATGAGACAACAGGATCCTATAAAAAGGGTGCATTAATCCAAAAGAAAACAAACAAACAAACAAACAAAAAAGCTTATGGGGAAATAAGCAACAAAAACAGATGGGACAAACAGAAAAAACAGTAAGACACTAGACATAAACTCAACCACTTAAATAAGTGCATTAAATGTTAACAGACTAATCATTTCAATTAAAGACAGAAATTGTCACACTGGACTTTAAAAGTATGAGCTAACTGGGGGCCGGCCCAGTGGCGCACTGCTACAGTGCGCCGCTTGGGAGCGCAGTGGCGCTCCCGCCGAGGGTTCGGATCCCACATACAGACCGGTTCCCGCTCACTGGCTGAGCGAGGTGTGGGCGCAGCACCGAGGGTTGCGATCCCGTTGCCGGTCCCGGTCCAGTACGGGCGCGACACTGAGGGTTGCGATCCGTTGCCGGACACGAAAAAAGACAAAAAAAGGGAAAAAAAAATAAAAATAAAAAAAATAAAAATAAAAGTATGAGCTAACTGTATGCTGAGTATAAAAAGCTCACTTTAGATGTAAAGACACAGGGGGCTGGCCAGTTAGCTCAGCTGGTTAGAGCGCAGTGTTGTAAATATAAAGACACAGGTTACAGTAGGGAAAAGTTAAAAGAAGGGAAAAGATATACCATGTAAACATGAATCATAAGAAAGCTGGAGTGACTGTGTTAATGCTGGTCTACAGTCTTCTTTCCTTTCAATGCCTTTCTCTGCTTTGAATAGCAGGGTGAATTCTGCCCTCATAAAATATGTTGGAAAATATTCCCTCCTCCTCCATATTCTAAGTTTGTAAAATGTTTGACAGAGCTCGCCAGTGAAGCCATGCAGGTCTAAAGTTTTCTCTGGTGATGTTTCAATCATGACTTCCATCTCATTAATAGATATAGAGCAATTCATATTTTGTTTCTTCTTGTTTCTGTTTTGATAACTGCTGAAGGAATTTGACATCTTACCTAAATTGGTTAAATTACTGGCATGAGGTGGTACATGGTACTATCTCGTTACTCTGTTCATGGTCAGTGAGATCTGTAGAAGCGTTCCCTATTCCATTCCTGTGTGTGTTAGTGACACCTGTCCATCTCTCTCTTTTTTTCTCTTGATAGGTACGACTACAGGTTTACTCATTTTATCGGTCTTTTTTTTATTTTTTTATTTTTTTTAAAAGATGACCAGTAAGGGGATCTTAACCCTTGACTTGGTGTTGTCAGCACCATGCTCACCCAGTGAGCAAACCGGCCATCCCTATATGGGATCCGAACCCGTGGCCTTGGTGTTATCAGCACCACACTCTCCCGAGTGAGCCACAGGCCGGCCCCATTTTATCGGTCTTTTTGAGAACCAGTTTTAGGCTTTATCTTTTTTTTCCTCTATTATTTGGCCATTTTCTATTTCATTGATTTCCTCTTTTGTCTTTGTAATCTTCCTACTGCATACTTTGGGTTTAATTTGCTCTTCTTTTTCCAGCTTCTTAAGATAGGGGCTTAGATCATTGATTTTTAGACCTTTCTTCTTTTCTATTATAAGCACTTAAAGCTACAAAATCTCCTTCAAGCACTGCTTTAGCTGCACCTTGCCCATTTTAATCTCTTCATTTCCATCAAATTCAAGATATTTCTAATTTCCCTTATGATTTCTTCTTTGACTTATAGGTTATTTAGAAATACAATGCTTAATTTTCTAATTATTTTGGAATTTTCTAAATATCTCTTCATTATTGATTTCTAATTTTTGTTGCAATCAGAGAGTATGCTTGTATGATTTCACTCCTTTTAAAATTTATTAAGATTTATTTTATGGCCTAGCATAGGGGTCAACAAAATTTTTCTGTAAAGAACTAAATAGTAAATATTTTCAGCTTTGTAGGCCACATATGGTCTCTGTTTCATGTTCTTTTTCTTCTTTTTTACAAGGCTTTAAAAACATGAAAACCATTCCTAGTTTGCAAACTGTACAAAACCAGGCAGTGGTCTGGATTTGGCCTGCAGGCTGTACTTTGCTAGCCAATAACCTTGCATGTAATATGGTCTATCTTGGTGAGTGTTCCATATGCACTGGAAAATAATTTTTATTCCACTGCTATTGGCAAATCAGATAAGTCCAGTTGGTTAATCATGTTATTCAAATCTTCTTTCTATATCCTCACTGATTTTCTGTCTACTTGTTCTATCAATTAATGAGAGAAGAGGTTGTATCTTCCATCGTAACTATGGATTTATTTATTTCTCCTTTTTATTATGTCTTGCTTCATGTATTTTGAATTTCTTTTATTATGTAGATACATTTAAGATTGTTACATCATCTTAACGAATTGACTCTTTGATCATTGAAATGACTATTATCTCTGGCAATATACCTTGTCTTGAAGTTTGTCTTGTCTGATATTAATACAGCACACTATTCTCGCAAATCACGTTTGGTATATCCTTTAACATCCTTTTACTTTCAACTTATTTATGTCTTTATATTTAAAATGTTTCTCTTATAAAACAGCATATGATTAGGCCTCACTTTGTTACTTAGTCTGTCATTCTCTGACTTTTAATTGGAGTATTTAGAACATTTACATTTAATGTAATTATTAATATGGTTGGGTTTGAGCAGTTTGAAAAGGTCTAACATCATTTCATGATAAAAACATATCAATAAGGGCTAGCCCATGGTTCACTTGGGAGAGTGTGGTGCTGATGGCACCAGGGCCACAGGTTCAGATCCCTGTATAGGGATGGCCAGTTGCCTCACTTGGGAGAGTGTGGTGCTGACAATACCTAGTCAAGGGTTGGGATCCCCTTACTGGTCATCTTTATTAAAAAAAACAAAACAAAAAAAAACACTTCAATAAATTAAGAATAGAAGAGAACTCGCTGAAGCTGATACAGCTATGAGTACACTTAATAGTGAACAAACTAAGTGCTTGTTCCCTAAGAAAGAACAAATGACTCTAACCAGTCTATTCAGGACTTTAGTGGAGGGCCTAGATAAGACAAAGAAATAAAATATTTACAGATTGAAAAGTAATAAGTAAAATTGTCTTTACTTGTAGGTGACATGATTGTGTAAGCAGAAATGCCTAAAAAATTTATAAGGACAAAAGCTACTAGAATTAATGAAAGTGAATTTAGCAAGCTCACCAGTTACAAGGTCAATATACAAAAAGTAATTATATTCTTATATACAAGCAATGAACAATTAAAAAATGAAAAAAATTTAAATTTGATCTACAATAACATCCAAAACCATGAAATACTTCGGGAAAATTTAAAACATTTATGCAAGACCTGTACACTGAAAACTACAAAACACTGCTGAGAAAAATTAAAGAGTACTTAAATAAATGGAGAGATATACTATGTTCATGGATTGGAAAAATACAATATTGTTAAGATGTCAATTTTCTCTAAACTGATCTATTGATTCAAACCAATCCCAATCAAATCCTAGCAGACTTTTTAAAAATAGAAATTTACAAGCTGGTACTAAAATGTATACGGAAATAAAAAGAGCCTAGAATAGCCAAAGCTATTTTTTTTTTTTTTTGTCTTTTTCCGTGTCCGGCAATGGATCGCAACCCTCAGTGTTGCCCCCGTACCGGACCGGGGACCGGCAACGGGATCGCAACCCTCGGTGTTGCTCCCGCGCCTCGCTCAGCCAGTGAGCGGGAACCGGTCTGCATGTGGGATCCGAACCCTCGGGTGGGAGCGCCGCCATGCCTCCCAAGCGGCGCACTATCCAGTGCGCCACCGGGCCGGCCCAGCCAAAGCTATTTTTAAAAGGAAGAACAAAGTTGGAGTACCACCACCACCTGATTTCAAGACTAACTATAAAGCTACAGTAATCAAGACAGTGTAGTTCTGTTATCTCAAAGATATAGATCTATGGAACAAAATAAACAATCCAGAAATAGACTCACACATATATTGTCAACTCATTTTCAATAAATGTACAAAAACAATTCAACAGGGAAAGTATACTCTTTTCACCATATGGTGCTGGAAAACTGGATATCCATAACTAAAATGAACCTCAACCTTTACCTCACACCATACACAGAAATTAACACAACATGGATCATAAGTTTAACCATAAGATCTAAAACTAAAAATTCTAGGGAAAAAAACTGCATTTGGGATAGACAGGACTCAAGAAAACATGAATTATAAAAGAAAAACTGTTAAACAGAACTTCACCAAAATTGAAAACTTCTCTTTGAATGACACCATTAAGAAAATAAAAAGTCACAGACTGGGAGAAAATATTTGTTATATATATCTTAAAAAGCACTCATACCCAGAACATATAAATAATTTTTATAACTCAAAAATAAGACAAAACACCAAATTTAAAAATGGGTGAAAAATTTGGATGGATACTTCATAAAAGAAGATATACAATAGCCAATAAGTGCACAGAAATATGATCAGAATTATTAATTATCAGGGAAATGCACAAGATACTACTACGTACCTACTAGAATGGCTAAAGTTAAAAAGCCATCAATACCCCAGCCACAAGCAGGCACGCTGCCACCACCACAGGGCCCCACCAGTGTCCTGTGGCAGGAACCAGGGGAAGCCAAACCCAGCTGCAATCAGGCAAAGGGTATACCCAAAACACCATCTCCATGGAGGTAGCCCACCACAGCCACCATAATTGCCATGGCTGCCACAAAAGTGGCTAGTTGCAATAGCAGTAGTCACAGCCACCGTTCAGATGGCACACCAGACACCTGACAGCATTGACACAAGGACAGTCAACAGTGGAGACAAAAAAAAAAAAAAAAAAAAAAAAAAAAAAAGAAGAGGTCCTCTATCTCCACAGAGCACACTCCAGAGTAATAAAAAAACATTTTCCATACGATAATAATGATAATGGAGTACCTGAACACACCTCTCTCAGAACTGGACAGATCATCTAGGCAACAAATCAACAGAGAAATAGTTAATCTATCAGAAGGAGAGAACAAATCTATGGTTATTGGAGGGGGATAGGGAGAGATTGGATAAGGGGCATAAAGAATAAGTATGATTCGTAATAATGAATATGCTAATAAAAGAAGCTGTCAATACCATGTACTGATGTTGATGAGGATACTGAACAACTGAAATTACTATATATACACTGTCGGTAGAACTGTAAAATGGCACAGCCACTTGGGGAAACACTTTGATGGTCTCTTATAAATTTAAGCATACACTTACCATATAACCCACAATTCCAGTCCCAGGTACCATGCAATGATAAAATTGTATGTCTATACAATGACTTTTTGTACATGCATACCCACAGCCACCTTATTCATAATAGCCAAATACTGGAAGCAGCTCAAATGTCTATCAACAGGTGAATGGAAAACAAATTATGGTCTACTCATACAACAGAATACTACTTAGCAACAGACAATAAGCACAATATAGAAGAATCACACAAGCACGGTGGTTGCTCAGGATCAGGGGTTGCAGGAAGGAACAACAGCAACGTGATGCGAGGGAATTTCTGGTGATGTCAATGTTCTATATCTCGACTGTGATAGCATATCTGTCAACATCCACAGAACCGCAAAATTAAAATGTGTCCATTTGTTTCATATAAATTATACCTCTGTAATGTTTTTTTTTAAATATGATATACAAGGGGCCGGCTTGTGCTCCCTCGGGAGAGTGTGGTGCCGATAGCACCAAGTCAAGGGTTAAGGTCCCCTTACCATTCATCTTTTGAAAAAAAAAATATATATATATATATATATATATATATATATAGGTGGAAGGGACGATGGGATAGCTCTAACCATCATGAACACATACGCACCTTACAGAATTCTTCAGCTTCTACAGAACAGCAACCGACAGAAATCCATAGATAAAAACTGCCTTGGTCCTTGACATTGATCCTAGAGAAATAAAAACTTAGGTTCATGCCATGGAATATTACTCAGCAATAATAAGGAACCACTGATGCCTGTAACAACATGGATGAGCCTCTAGGGAACTGTCACTGAGCAAAAAAAGCCAATCTCAAAAGGTTACACATTGTATGATTCAATGTATATAACATCTTAGAAATGGAGGAGAGATGACTGGTTCCAGCAATCAGGGACAAGGATGGATGGGTGGCAGGAGGGAGGTCAGTGTGGTTACAAAAGGGCGACACCAGGGGTCCTCATGGCTTTGAAGCTTCAGTATCTTGACTGTGACGGTAAGTACAGGGGACAAACCGTGGAGCACCAGACGCACACACGCATAAAAGGGGAGTCTGAACAAGGTCTCGATCAATGTCCATTTCTGGCTGTGCTATTCCACTACAATTTTGAAAAATGTTACCACTAGAGAAATCTGGGCGAAGTGTACAAGGGATCTCTCTGTATTATTTCTTACAGTTGCAATGTCAAAAATGTAAATATTACTAAGCTCAGACTATTAAAGAGATATAAAATAAACCTAAAGAACAGAAAATACAAATTCTTTTTGAACACACCATGTAATATTTACGAATATTAACCACATATAAATCAATAAAAGAAACATCAATACACTCTAAAAGACCATTAGCTTACAGACTGTGTTCTCCAAACACAATAAAATAAAGCTCAGAAATTAGTGTCTAAAAGAAAGTTTTTAAAAATCCTAAGTGTGAATTGATAAGTTCCTAAAATTCAAAGGAAATGCAAGGGACCCAGAACACACAAAACAATCTTGAAAAAGAAGAACAAAGCTGGAGACTCACACTTCCGATTTCAAAATTCACTACAAATCTAGTGATCAGGGCAGTGTGGTACCAGCCTGTATTAGTCTGTTTCCATTGCTTATAACAGAGTACCTGAAACTGGGTGATTTATAAAGAAAAATGACATTTATTGCTTACAGTTTCTGAGGCTGGGAAGTCCAAAGTCCATCTCGGGGTGGCAACAATGACCCAGGAGTCTCACACTGCAAGATGGTGGAAGCAGAGAGAGAACAGAGAGAGAGAGACAGACTCTCCTCTTTTAAAGCCCTCAGAACCACGCCCCTGACCACCATTTTAAATCCACTCACTACTGCACAGTCCTACAATCCAATCACCTCTTCAAGGCTCTACCATTCAGTTACCATAATAGGATTTCCAACCCTCTTAACAGTCACAGCGGGGGCTAAGTTTCTAATATGTAAAACTTAGGGGACACAATTCAAGCTGCAGGGAGTTTTGGGGGGACATAACTCAATCCACTACATTACACCCCTGGCCCCTGCAAAACTCATGTCCTTTTCACATACAAATACATTCATTTCATCCCCAAAGTCTTAACTTGTTTCAACTCAAAAGTCCAAAGTTTAAAGTCCCATCTGTGAAATCAAAACAAATTATCTACTTCCAAGATACAATGGTGGGACAAACATACGGTACATATTCCCATTCCAAAGGGAAAAATAGGCCAAAAGAAAGGGGCAACAGGTCCCAAAAAAGCCTGAAACCCAACAGGCCAGGCATCAAATCTCGAAGCTGGCAAATCATGTACCTTGACTCCATGTTCAATGTCCTCTGCACGTTAGTGTTGGGGTTGAGTCCCCAAGACCTTGGACAGCTCCACTCCTATGACTTTCCTGGTCTCAGGCCACACTTCAGCTCTCCCATGCTGGTGTTCCATTCTTGTAGCTCCACAAATCAGGGGTCTCCATGGCTGGCCCACTCTCACAGCTCCATTAGGCATGGTGCTGTTGGGGTTTCTCTGCTGCAACTCTGACCCCACGTTTCTGCTCAGCATTGCTCTAGTGAAGGTTGTCTGTGGTGAGCCCGCCCCTGAGACAGATCTCTTCCTGGGCCCCCAGACTTTTCCATACATCCTCAGAAATCTGGGTGGAGGCTCCCAAGCCTCCATAGCTCTAGCATTCTGTGAGCCTGCAGACCTAACATCACATGGACGCTGCCAAGGCTTCCAGCTTGTATTTTCCAAAGCTGCATATCCAGCCACACATGGGACCAATTTACCCACAGCTGGAGTAGCCAAAGCAGCTGGGGTGCTGGTGCCTGAAGGACCGTGGAGGGCTCCTCAAGCCTGTTCCCCAAGACCATTCTGTCTCACTAGGCCTTTGGGCCTGAAATGGAAGGACTGGTTCCAGAGGCTTCTGCAATGCCTTCAGGGCATTTTACCCTTCTCTTGATAATCCCATTCTTTTGTGTTAATCTTCTTAGTACCATTGAATTTTCCTTCTGAAAATGCTCTCTGCTTCTCTACCACATGGTCAGGCTGCAAATTTTCCAAATCTTTACGTTCTGCTTCCCTTTTAAGTTCTGGCTTTATGTCATGCTTTTGCCGCCATAACTCAGAATAGGATGTTATAAGTAGCCATGCAGCTTCTGTAATGCTTTGCTGCTTAGAAATTTCTTCCACCAAGCACTCTGGTTCACAGTTCCTAAGTTCCAACTTCCACAAAGTCCTAGGGCATGAACACAACGCAGCCAAGTTCTTTGCCAGTTCACAGCAAGGTTAATATTTGCCCCACCAAGGGTGATCTTTGCCCCAGTTTCTGAAAACTCCTTATTTCTATCTGAGACGTCCTTAGAATAGTCTTTACAGTCCATATTTCTATCAGCCTTCTGCTCGCCACCACGTAACCAGTCTGTAAGACATTCCAAACTTTCCCTCTCCTTTTGTCTTCTTCTGAGTCCTCTAAACTCCTCCAACCTTTGCCTAACACCCAGTTCCAAAGCCATTTCCACATTTTCAAGTATCTGTTATAAGCAACACCCCAACTCACTGGTACCAATTTTCTGTATTAGTCCATTTCCATTGCTTATAACAAAGTACCTTAAACTGGGTGATTTACAAAGAAAATGAAATTTATTGCTTACAGTTTCTGAAGCTGGGAACTCCAAAGTCCATCTGGTGGTGGTGATAGTGACCCAGGGGTCTCACATTGCAAGATCGTGGAAGCAGAGAGAGCAGAGCAGAGAGACATATCCTCCTCTTCTTTGAAATCCCTCAGAACCACACCCCTGACCACCATTTTTAGTCCATTCACTACTGCACAGTCCTACAATCTAATCACCTCTTCAAGCCTCCACCTTTCAATTACCATAATAGGATTTCCCACCCTCTTAACGGTCACAGTGGGGGCCAAGTTTCTAATACATAAAACTTGGGGACACAAGTCAAGATTCAGTGAGTTTTAGGGGGACATAACTCAATCCACTACAGGGCTCAAGGACAGACATATAGACCTACAGAACAGAATTGAGTCAAGAAATAAAACCACACATATTTGTTCAATTGATTTTCAGGAAAAGTACAGTCTTTTCAACAAATGGTGCTGGGGAAACTATCCACGAGCAAAAGAAAAAGTTGGTCCCCTACCTAACATCATATATAAAATTTACTCAAAATGGATCAAAGACCTAAACTTAAGGACTAAAATGACAAAATTCTTAGAAGAAAACATAGAGGCAAATCTTCATGACCTTGGGTTTGGCAATGGTTTCTTAGAAAAGACACTAAAAACAATAAAAGAAAAAACAAAGAAATTGGACTTCATCAAAAATAAAACTTATGCTTCAAATGATACCTTCAAGAAAATATAGAGACAACCATAAAATGAGAGAAAGTTTTTGTAAATCATCTACCTAAGGGACTTGTGCCTAGAATATATATAAGAACCCTTACAATTCAACAATAAAAAGACAAATTTTAAAAATGAGCAAAGGGGGCTGGTCCATTGGCTCAGCACGTTAGAGTGTGATGCTGATGACACCCTGTGCTGGCCAGCCACCAAAGAAATAAAAAACGAGCAACATACAGACATTTCTCTGGAGAAAACATCTAAATGGCCAATAAGCACATGAAAAGATGCTGAACATCATCAGCCATTGGGGAAACGCAATGAGACACCACTTCACACCTGCTGGGATGGCTGTCATCAAAAAGACAGGTGTATTAGTCCGTTTTGTGTTGCTATAACAGAATTATCTGAGACTGGGTAATTTATAAAGAACAGAGGTTTACTTCGCTCATGATTCTGGGACAGCTGCGTCTGGCACGGGCCTCAGGCTGCTTCTACTCATGGCGGAAAGCGGCAGGGAGCCGGCAGGTGCAAGCAGATCACATGGTGAGAGGAAGCAAGAGAGAGAGAGAAGGTGCCAGGGTCTTTTTAAGCAATGAGCTCTCGTGGGAACTAATAGAGCAAGAACTCACTCATTAACCCCCCCACCCCCAGGGAGAGCATTAATCCATTCATGAGGGATCCACCCCCATGACTCAATGAGTTTCCAACACTGCCACATTGGAGATAGATTTCCACGTGAGTTTTGGAAGGGACAACATATCCAAACTCCATCAACAGGTAATAAGTTTTGGTAAGGATGTGGAGAAATTGGAAGCTTCTTACACTACTGGTGGGAATGTGAAATGGTGCAGCTGTTGTAGAAAACAGTCTGGCGTTTCCTTGAACAATTAAACACAAAGTTAGCATAAGACCTCACAACCTCCCTCCTGGGTACACACGCAAGAGAAATGAAGACATACATCCACATAGAAACTTGTACACAAATGTTCACAGCAGTATTATTCATAATAGGCAAAATGTTGAAACAACCCAGATGTCCATCAAGAAATATGTTGATAAACAAAATATGGCATAACCACACAATGAAATATTATTCAGTAATAAAAAGGAATGAAGGGGTCCGCCCGTGGCTCACTGGGGAGATTGCGGTGCTGATAACACCAAGGCCATGGGTTCGGATCCCTATATAGGGCCGGCCCATAGCTCACTTGGGAGAGCGTGGTGCTGACAACACCAAGTCAAGGGTTCAGATCCCCTTACCGGTCATCTTTTAAAATAAATAAATAAATAAAAATAAAACATAAATAAATAAAAAGGAATGAAGTTCTTATAAATACAATAAGCTGGATGAACCTGGAAAA